ATCATACCAGAAGAGATCCCATAATCAGACCAATCCGGAGCTATTTTTCAGAATTCAGGGAAGGCAAACAAAGGAGCACAACAATTTATTTTCTATGTTATTGGCTATATAGCAAACTTATTTTTCAGTTTCTATGCTTACGCTACTCCTAATGACCTCCTGCATTGTCTAAGAACAGTCTGGTTCATTTTGCAAGAGAGACCCCTGTACTTCATATGCCTTGAGTAGGATTCCTCATGCCAGAAGCAGCAACCATCACTCGCCGAAGTTCATCTTTTGATTGCTATTCCTCTTGATGAACCACCTCCCTCATGTATCCCCAGAGAGAAGAGGCAATGGGAATGAGGTCTGGTGAACAGGGAGACCAGGCGCATCATCTTTACACCCAAGTATCAGAGAAGCTGTCGCGCAGAGGGGCTTTTATGAACAGCCTACTGAGATTTGCGGAACGCAGTAAGCGCAAGTGTTCAACGAATTTCCCGTCAAATAGTTCAGATTGAAAGGAGAAATGCTATTTAGATCTACACATAGGGTACAACACGGCAGAAGGCAAAGAATAATACCAGGTTATAATGTATAGAGGTTAACAACTTTCTAAACCTAGATTATGATGTGAACATCAACACAGCCGAGGAAACGATAACAGAGTATATTTCAGAATCAGGCAAAAAGAGTCAAGGCTCCTATGAGCTGAAAGAACAGTAATCATGTTTCGATGGGGAATGTTCAAAGCATTACAGCGAAGAAAAGAAGCTGAATTCCAATTGGTACAGGATCGAAGCTAAGAGATGAGGCTTATCTGAACAACATAAGTCACAAAGCCGAACCAGCGCTGGTTTCTCCGAAACGTCGGTTAACAAAATATCTACACAGCTCAACATCCCAAAAGATTACATTCTTCATAGTCACCGCCGTGAAAACCTCAAATCTTGCGAGAGAATATCTGTAGGGCAAATTTAATGAAGTTACAAAGCACAGTAAAAACAAGGATATTAGAACCCTACAGAGGAATAAATGAATTTAAGAAGGGTTACGAACCTAGAGCTAAACTGATGAGGGATGAGAATTGTGATCTACTTCTAGGTTATTATAATGTTTCGAACAGGTGGAAGAATTACTTCTCTCAGGTGCTGGGAGTACATGGGGTTAAAGAAGGAAGAACGTAGAAGCTCAAATTGACGCTAGTTGCACAGAAGTTCAGTCCTACAAATTTGTTTTTACCGTCTTCTTCGTGTAATGTCAATTTGTAAGCCCAAAATATAATTCAGTATAACTCATGGGCTATTGTGCTGAACTCGTGCAAAAATGATCATACAGCAGTTTTCTGATTGAGTCAAACCCTTTATTACTTGTGATCACAAATGTGTTACATATAGTGCATTTCTCCTATTTAGTAAGAGGTAAAAAAGGTAAAGGTATCCCTGCAAGAGGCCGTGGTGGCCCATACGGTTGTGAGAGGTCGAGGGTCCTACATTTTGTCTAGATAATCGGCTAACAGATGGCGGCAATGTTGTCAGACTTACGCGGCGGCCGCCCTTTAACCCCCAGGAATATTCCTGGTACTCATTTCTGTTAGAGGCTGAGTCGACCCCAGGCCCATAGTGCAGCTGGAAGGATTGGGTAAATTTAAAAAATGCACTTAATAGGGACTCGAACCCGAGAACGTATCGCTTGTAGCATAATGCCTCAACCAACTACGCTACCGCATGAATTTAGTAGTTTATTTAATTTTATAAGAGACAGTCCGACTACAGAGGGTGGCGACCCTGCTTAACTCCAGCTCCAGTGGATAGCACCTGGTAATGACCCTTTCTCAGGGTTACGTAGTGGGTAGACTGTAGTTGTTAACCATGGTAGGCAATCTGTCTACGGAGGGGAAACCCTGAATGGAAATCCTGTTTTTTCAACAGGCTGGTAACCAGCTCAAGTAAAAAAGAGTTAACACATTATCCTCAAAGAGGATGTTTGAGAACGGAACGGGCTGACAAGCTAAACCCTTGCAGACGATGATGATGATGAGGAGGAGGAGGAGTTTATTTAACGACACTGTCAGTGACTCAGACTATATTGGTAGGATGATTAGATGACTGTACAGAGAAATGAACGGGATGTGGAAAGAAGTGATCTTGTCCTAACTGAAGATACTGTCCCGTCATTTTCCTTGACAGACTGAGGGAAGATACGAAAACCCTTAATCAGCTTATTAGGTGTCCCGGCTGAGATTCGAACTGAGCACTTGTTACACATTATCATCATTATAATCAATATTTTTGGGAAGAAATTGCGGCTGCAAATTTTGCGGACCACATTAAATTTGTAAGACTTCAAATTTTCGCACCGTCGCCATGTTTGTAACTGCTCACTCACTCATTCATGGAGCTGAGCCCTTCTTGGAAAGTCGCTAATTGTGCAGGTACTCAAGAACTTCCCAGCATTTTATGGAACCCGAAGGTTCATTATTGTGCTCACAAGAGCCCTCCAATGGTCCCTATCCTGAGATAGATCAGATAAAATCCGATCCTATTTCTCTAAGATCCATTTTAATGTTGTTCACCCACCTATGTCTTGTTCTTCCAAGTGGTCTCTTTCCTTCTGGCTTTCCCACCAATATCTTATATGCATTCCTCTTCTCCCACATTCCTGCTACATGCCCTGTCCACCTCATCCTCCTTGACTTGATCATTCTAATTATACTTGGAGAAGAGTACAAGTTATGAAGCTCCTCATTATGCAGTTTTCTCCAACCTCCCATCACTTCATCTATCTTCGGTGCAAATATTCTCCTCAACACCCTGTTCTCAAATACCCTCAGTCTGTGTTCCTCCCTTAATGTCAGAGACTAAATTTCACACCCATACAGAGCCACAGGCAAAATTATAGTTTTGTATATTCTAATTTATATGTTTTTGGACAGCAGACGAGAAGACAAAAGGTTCTGGGCTGAATTGTAGCAAGCACTATCCGAGTTCAATCTCCTCTTAATTTCCTCCTCAATCAGGTTTCGATCTGTTATCGTTGTTCCCAAATATCTTAAATGTGCCACATTTTCAGATAGCAGTGATATCTCCCGGTAATTAATACAGTTAGTTTCACCGCCCTTTTTGTGAACTGGTATAAAAATAGATTCCTTGTACTGATCAGGCAATTCTTCCTTTTTCCAAATAGAATTAACGAGTTTACGGATCTCAGACCATAATTTTCACCTCCCTCTTGAGTGCGTTTTGCCGGAATTTTGTCATTTCCTGGCGGTTTATACTTTTACAACTTTGCAATAGCAAACAATTGTTCACTTATAAATAATATTACCTACATAATTTGTAGGGGATTTTATGCCCTAATCAAATGCCAAATCCTGATCTCCAGTGGTTCAAAGGTTACGTCATGAAATGGAAAGTTAAAACACAGATTTAATAAATCGTTGTTTGTAGTTTCAGCATCAACAAAATTTGCATATTTTTGGAAGATTTTGCCATCCGTCGTCTCGGGACCCTAGAGTGAGTGTTAGTAGTGGGTGTCTTCCACCTCTTCCGGCCGTGACGTTATTGATTGTACAATCGGATGGCTGCTAGTGGTATAGTGGTCATACAAAGATTCGTAGAAATCTGTCATCTGATTGAAAGGTTGAACATGGGGCCCACACAAAGAGCGTGAAAATGTCTTGAGTCTACTTCCCCTTTTAAAGGGAGGAATGCTTATGCACTCTGCAATGGAAATTTCGTTTTCTTAAGAGGAACATAATTTTGCAGAAGCTTAGAAAATACAGCGGACTAAAACTTATTGCGGCCGAAAAGCCCAAATATGTAGGCTCCTATGGTCTAAGCTGTATGGACAGGACGAAATACAAAATGTCGCTGAAGCATTAACCTGAATCTACCAGTAAAATCGTTTGCTCCACGTTGCCAGTCATGAAATTCTGAAGGACTGAGTGACAGGCATCGTAGACAATGTAAGCGGTACTGATTTTGTTCTGGGCTGCTAACGTCCAGTGATTGAAATTAGCGCTTTCTAAGGGGGCCAGCTGAGTAGGTGTCTTCCTTCCTCACCTGAAGACGAAAACAGATTCAGTTTCTGAAACGTCGTGTTTTCTGTTTCCTAGATTTTCGGACGATGGAAAAAGTCCAAAAAACCCAGTAATTCTCTGTGCTAACGTCTTGTTTGATGTGGGCAATGTTGCTTGCATTTCGGAACTACATGCTGCCTTCATCTTCAGGGTCGAAACGTCAGCAATGATGGCACTGCGTAACAACTAACGAATAGAATTAGCATCAATATTTAAGTATAATGAAAATCTAAAATCGATAATGTAAGTAGTAATCATATCTTCTGGGATATAACACCGTGTAGTATACTGAAAGTCGACCGACGTTTCGGAGAAACATATCGCCTCTATCTTCAGGTCGAATACGCCGAGGAAGATACCAGCGTGAAAGCAGATAGCAAGCCGAGTTCCTCCGAAACGTCGGTTGACTTTCAACGAATTACACGGCGTTATATCACAGAAGATAGTACTCTTCATACCCACAGCCATGAGAACCTGAAATCCTACACGGTAATCATATAGCCACGTCGTTAATAATACAGTGGAAAACACCTCCACCATCATCGCCGGGGGGTTGATTTTTTGTATTGCCCCCACAGCAACCTCGTATCCATAGCAGTTTTCATGGAAACTGTATAGACCCTGGTTGAACTCCACTACGCCGCATTAATTGGTAAAAACATGTTCAGTGAACACTGAACTGTTAGGGAATCTCGTATCATACCCACGTTACGGGAGTCTGCTGACTTCAAGCAAAGTTTACAAAGGTGAAGTTCGGGCACGCACGCGTGAGCACTCGTGTGTTTTCGGTACAATCCGGAACTGTCGTGTGTTGGTGCGCTGTACTTTGTGTACTCGTACCGCCCTTGGTTGCCTCTAGCCCGCCACTTTCCTTCCCCTCTGCCTCCCCGGCCGATCGCACCGCACCATTTCCCGCGTCCCTTGCGGAGAATCATCAGTATGTAGCTTGGCTTGGTTGTGTGTGTATAGACTCCGCTTTGAGCGTGTCGGCTCTCATCTTATCCAACTACTTGTTTCTTTATATACATAGAAAGTGAGACTTTTCTAACGTGAGCCGGCTGTTTTGAATTCAAAATGGCCGCGGGTTCAACAGAAACATTTGCTTCGGCATCTCAAGCATTGGGATGTTTTAATGCCAGCTTATTGAAACAAGATAAATTCTGGACAGCTGAAGTGATGGCCACTGCATCAACCGGTAGTTTTTGGGAAGATGATCCAGAAGAAGCTGCAAAGAAGAGGGTGAACGAATTGAAACGAATATTTCACAGTGGCCGGCAGCTTCAAATCAAACATTTACCACGCGACGTTACGGAAGAGGTAAGTGTTTATATTTCTAGGGTGTGTGCATAAGTTTTAACGGCTTTGACACGGTGTGTGCAAAAACGAAGGCCGGGAATAGAAACGAACTGAGGTCTTGTTTCGTTGTTTGATATGACCTTGAAGCCAGCGCGTGGTGAAGAAAGTAATTTCTCTACATGTGCTACGAATCATCAGCTCGGACAGGTTTCCTGTAACGAAGTAGTACGTTGACCTCTGTTTCGAACGCTCATAGGAGTGACTACAGAAAGAAAGAAAACGGGAAAGTGTTGGTGATCTTGGAAGGCAAGCCAGTGACGGAGCTGACACTGAAAAGAGTAGGGTATTTTGTATTGCTTCGCTATGATCACGATCGCTTGGGGTAACAGCTAACGTGGTAGCTACAATAACGACAAAGTGAACTGAAAAGGAACGTTTGATGACTCATGTGTACACGTGCGTGTAATGTTTGAGAACCTTTGGGGGTTCGCTCTCGAAATCTTATTAGCTCACAGCATTGTGTTTAAGTAACACGTAGATTTGGAAACTAGAAATTCTCTAACAGTCTGAAGTTCGATTCTTGTTGCTGTTGAGTTTCTGACACTGGATGTGTTATTAGACCTTTCATATTTACCTCCATTTTATTACTTCACCACCCGGTGTAGAGGCCAACAATTTTCATTTTGTTTCAAATAAATTTTAGGTTACATATAGCAACTTATATGAGCCATAAAGTTATATTGTACATATTGGAATTTTACAGACGGCAACTTTGCGCTTGAAGCGTCGATTTGTCGGGCACCAGCAATGGTTCGAAACCATTCCGGACATACTTGGACCCGAAATGCTTCCGAAATATACGAACATTTCCCTGCTTCATTAAGATTGTTTAGCCCTTAGCAGTTTAGCAGTAGCTATGTGATGTAAGCCATTATGTTTATTCGGGTTTCGTTTCATTTTAGTCTTTACAGTTTCGAATTTATTTGACTCTTGGAGTCAGGATTGCACTGCTTAACGAATGAAACCCTATTTCTGTGTCGAAGGTTCAGGTAGCGACGTCCGAAGTTCATGTTTCTGGAAGACATTACTGAAACCGTCCTCCTAAGTTTGTTTATAGCCTACTTTCCTTATTTCGAAAACATGAAAGTGGGCTTATGCGCTCTCCATATTATCTGTGAATCCCCCTCTGTAGTAACTTGTGCATGCCTGAATCAGTCTCTATGAAACTTCGTTTGTACATCATGTACTGAACCCAGCTCAGTGGAGTACTTCATAAATCTCTCCCATCAGTCTGTGTGTCTGTATCACTCCTGTCGTTGCTGGGCAAATGCTCGGTTAAGAGTATTCCTCCTTTAATTTGTAGGCAACGGCTCAGTAAACCCGTTACCGCGGCACCGAATACACGCAACAATAGAAGAATTGTTGGATACGTGTGTTTCTGGGTCTGATTATGTATATCCATATCGGTGCTAGGTAACAACTCGGTAAAGACGTTCCCGTGGCAACGAGGAATTGGTGGAGACGTCGTTTTCTGTGCTATCCATGTCGTACGAAAGGAAAATAGGCGATTAGTTCGTCCCAGAAGTTTTTGTTTTCTTTTTAGACTAGAGTCTGCTTTTATGTATAACTATTTCAGTCAGTCCAGTACAATGGCAGTATTCGATTTTTGTCTCTGTAATACACGTAACTAATGTGTGCTCTCTCGTTCCATTCGTAAATATGTGAAATATAGCCTGTTTTAACTGTAAATCAGACATGTATAGTATGGCTCGCCAACCGAACCTGGTCCGTGACCTTCAGTCCATTGACCGGCCACTGAAAAGCATCTAGGCTTGTTCTGCTATGGTATTTGTTATGCAACCACGTTTGACGGTTAGGTTATGCTTTTGAAAGCGTACTTTGATTTATGTAGAAACTCTGACAAAGGTTTTGCACAGACAAATATTGTTATTGAATACTTACTACACTTAATTAACGAGTCTCGTAGAATCTGTCTGAATCTCAAAAGAACTGAGCAGCCCTGATTACGTATTTGTAATCCAATAACGTTCCTTTATATCGCTGTAGAGGTGATGGAAATCTCTGGGCAATCCTTGACCGTTCAATTAAATTTGTACGAAATTTAGTTCAGTAACGGCAGTCTATACATGTACATGTTCTCTTTCCTGTTTTCATTGCTGGTCTGGTAGAAAATACCCAAAGATATTACGAAATTTACTCCATGTTGTAGTCAGTGTGTTCAGTAGCCAACACTTCTAAAGCAATGTGCAGATATTGTGGTGTACCTTGTGGATCATATGCGAATCCTCATTTATTTTTCTTAATTATTTTTTTCCTTGGCACTAGAGCCCCAGTGGGCCTAGGCCTACCTCCATGAACTTCTCCGTTCACTTCGGTTTTTCTAGATCTTACACATTCGGTAGGGCTCCTTGGGCGGGTGATCAGCTCGTCGCAAGGCCTCTACCTGTACACAAACACAGAAAAACGCGCACACACAAACTAAACATCCATGCCCTGAGTGGGATTCGAACCCACGATCCCGGTTTCCAAGCGAGCGAAGACAGTACATGCCTTATATTAGTAAAATATATTTTTATTTGAATGTTATATCTTCTAGGTCTGTAATGTGATATTGACAAGAAAATCGACCACTTTCCGAGCGAAGAACGGATAGTTATTCTGGTAATTAATAAAGTGGCGTGAACTGTTTAAATTCCTGTTTCCTTGTGCGTTAGGACAGTCGAAACGATTTTTGTTCATCATGTGTAGTCTTCCTTACCGAAAGTTGGTACACCTCACCTGCAACTCGACCCGTGGATTTGGAGTTGCGAAATGTGGTTGGAGTACGTGTGTATGTACATTTTTTTTCAGTATGAAGAAAGCAGTCTTCTGGGATTTGGCACCGTGTATATGTGGTGTTAACCGACGTTTCGGAGGAACGTATCGCCCCCATCTTCAGGGTTGAAGAAGTATAAGTAAATCTGCAAGCGACAACACCGTGAGACACGGTCAAGCAGACTGATTGCAGATTTACTTATACTTCTTCAACCCTGAAGATGGGGGCGATACGTTCCTCCGAAACGTCGGTTAACACCACATATACACGGTGCCAAATCCCAGAAGACTGCTTTCTTCATAGTCACCGCCGTGAAAGCCTCAAATCTTACATTTGTTCAGTATGTTTGGAAAGACGCGAATAGTTTATATGTGTTCAATCCCCGCCTAATTTTTACGAGACGTGAGCGTGTAACATGTACCAACGGTGACTACTTGTTTATTCCAAGTTGATCGTTTCCTCTATGCGGTGGTCTAGACTCCGTAATTCTGTGTGAATGCGCTCCCAGTAGGCGTGTCTCTGAGTGTCCAAGTACCAAGTTCGAATCCCTTTAAAAACTCAGAGTCTGCCAGCCACAATGGACATCACGCTAGATTTGTGACGTGTTCATTTCCATCGGACTCCTCGCCGGTTTAGTTACTCGCTTCACACACTTTGTGTCTTACTAGTGAACTTCAGTTCAACATCGAGTGTTATGTTGAACACCTCCTTGGAGGCTACCTCTTGCTACCTGCCGACTCCTACCGCATTGGTGACCAGTGCATCCACGTCTTTCTACTTGTTCATCACTCAAAGTACTCAGTAGTATTCCTATTGTAATCCTGTAGAACTATTTTATGCAATATATTTATTGTAATCAACCTCACAACCGACTTCTGAAGACTTGAATTTTAATTCGCAAGTGTTCCAATGATTCCAAATCACAAGATTTCCGTTCGGTCTACACGAATATCCCATCAACATCCTTCGGGATACAGCAATAATTTTAGGCAAATTCTGTTAGTCTTCGTAAAATCGGAACACCTCAGAAGTTCCCAGAGTTGTCTAAATTCTTGGGGTGTGAGACTGAGTTCACTTGATAGGTCGGCTATTAACTGGCCTTTTCTACCAGCCCCTGATGATAGATGATGATGATGATGATGATGATGAATGTGGAGCAATCGGTGTAATGAAAATTGGCAGAGGAAACCGAAGTACTCGGAGGAAAACCTACCCCAGCGCCACTTTTTCCACCAAAAATCTCACCAGACCTGATCTGGGCTTGGACCCGGACCGCCGCTGTGGGAAGCAGGCGACTAATTGCCAGCGCTATGGCATGGCCTAACTTATCTAACTTTTTTTAATTCGCATAGTGGGGGGCGGAGTCCAGCTGGGTCCACTCGGCACGACGGTCATTGATGACCTCTTGTACCAGCCCCGCGTGATTATGATGATGGAGAATTTTTGGCGGAATGAAGATTGACAAGGGAAACCGAAGTACTCGGAGAAAACCTGCCCCAGCGCCACTTTGTCCACCGCAAATCCTACATGACCTGACCTGGGTTCGAAATCGGGCCGCCGTTGTGGGAAGCCGGCGACTAACCGCCTGAGCTATAGCACGGACTAAATTGTCTAACTTACTACATGGAGCGAAGCTCTTCTTATGCAAGCATTAGTCTCTGAAACAGTCAATAAATTCCCCCACACACTTTATAGACCCACAGGCTCGTCGCCATCTTGTGATGAGCTCGGTGCTGGCCCTGTCTTGAGCCAAGTGAATCCGGTCCACGCTTTTACACCCATGTCTTTTAAGAGCCGATCACAGTGGCCGCGCGGTCTAAGGAATGAACAGTCCTCACCCGCTCTAACACTGGAATCGTGGGTTCAAGACCCACTCTACACATGGATGCCTGTGTGAGTTTATTCTGTGTTTGTGTTGTTCTCTGTGTAAGGTAGCGGCTTTGCAACGTGCTGATCCCCGTTCAAGGAGCCCTACCGACTGTGTATAGGATTAAGAAACTGAAAAGCGGCCAATACCCAACAAAGGGCTGTAGAGCCATAGATAGATAGTCTTTTAAAATCAATTTTAATGTTATCCTCCTAACTCCTACATAGCATATTCCTGCCAGGTTTTGTAATAAAAGTTTTATGTGCTTCTTTCAGCTTTCCTGTCCCTCTGTCATCACATCCTTCATGATCTGATAAT